AGTTACTTTTTTATTCGTTTTTAGAAGTTACTTTTTTATTTCCTTGGGCAGTTTCTTTCAATAAAATAGGATTGTTCGCGAGGATGCCCTCAGTTGTTTTCGTGATTCTCCCGGTGAGATTCGAGGGGGGGCCATGTAGACCGCACACGGGCTTGCCTTTGTTAAAGTTTTTTTTCTTCTTTTTTTGGGGGCGGGGGGGGGGGGTGTTACCACAGAGTCCACATGCCCTACACGGGGCTTGCCTTCCTTTTTTTTTGGTGGAATTGTTTGTGCCACCCAGTCCATATGCCCCACACTGTGACAGCCACCCACATAGTACTGTCTAGCTCGGAGACTGCGACTGGCCCTGTGTGGTCCCCCCCACCCAACCCATGCCCAAACACGTCAATATAACGAGCTGACGATGAACTCACAGACGGACCCACCACCCTGTCTCTCTCCTTTCTTCTCCCCAATGCCACCCCCTTCCCCTCCACCAACTGCTCATTTTCAGACGTCAGCTTTTCTTGTTTTCATAGCCTTGGCCCGCGAGGGGTTATGAATCTCGTGATCCGTCCTTCAGGATATCCGTTAAAATTGGAAAGACGCAGAGAAGGGTAAATTAGCAAATGGCTCCTGCGCAAGGATGACACGCATAAATCGAGAAATGGTCCAAAAGGGGAAAACAAAAATTCTTCAGTTCATTTTTCTGCATAACATACTTTTTTCTGAGTCTTTTTTTTTTTTTTTTTTTTTTTTCGGGTCCCCGTCTTTGGTCCTTGCACGGCCAAGTCGCCCGGGCGAACAGGGTGACCCGGGTGGCCCGGCTGGTAGGCTACTGCTGAACTATTTAGCAAACAACTTTGAGCGACAATTGTTTTATTACTTATGTAACTATCAAAGGAAAGATAGGGGCCTGTAAGGCCCTGTCAGACGCTTCCCCTGGGCCCAGGGAAAATGAGGCCTGCATTTCGGTTGGATGGGACCGACATAGCGCCCCCGTTTAGGACATTGCTTTTGGGGGGGCGGGCGGGCCCAAGCGTTTGTACGTTTTGTTTGCGGGGACCCTTGGTACAGTTGTTGTTGGCGTGGCTTTATGGACGGGGTCTATGTTTCACCGCGAGTTTGTTTCGCGCCGTGCCTTCGATTGCAGAAGTGTTGTCCAGCAGGTGTAGGCCAGATTCAACCAGCCAGTGTACATTTCCATGTTCTAGCAGGAGATTCATTCGATTTTGCTCATCCTATCGATGGAAGTAGTGCATGGCCAGGTGCGGGGTTGGAGACTTACCTGTTGGCTGGTGGGTTGCTCATCCTATCG